GACTTACAGTGTGCTGCCCATGCTTAGCATTGGGATCTGCTAGTTCAAACCAGTGTTCTCTCTGACTGTAGCTAGAAACCTTACCTTGTCCACCTCTTCATATCGCAGGGAATGAGCTTTTTAGAAACTGAGCTCTTCAGTTTTCCATGGCAATATTTCATTTTCCATTAGAAGACACTTATCATTCACTGACTCTTTTTTTTAAAAGGTTTTCTATTTAAGTTTTCTGAAACTTACAGAGAAGACGTTAGCTTAAACGCTAATAATATAATAATAGTATATAATAACAGAAATAATAGGAATAATAGTAACAATTTGCTTTCTCCTGTTTATTACCAGAAGCAAAGATAATGGAAAGTGCAGACGAGTGCTCCTTTGTTCGTGTTGGTGGCCTAAGTTCTTCGGTGTCAGAGGTACACCCATTTTTGTTATATTGCAGCAGGTGTCTTACCTCTCTTCATTGCATTTTGATTTGCAATCAAACTGTGCTTGTATTTTCGTAGGATGACTTAAGATCCCATTTCCGGGAATATCCAGATCTCTGACATTCTTATCTGTGTGGATTCTGGTAACCACAGGTACAGTAATCAAAAGTTTTACTTGTTTCAGAATTTTTGCTGTTGAAGTAAATGAATCATGGGAGAGAAGAGGGAGTTGTTCATTAGTTTATTTTTATTCTGATTCAGTAAGTAATGTAGATACAGATAAGATGACAAAAACCTGTAATTCCAGACAGCTTCTCATCTTAAGAGAAGCTAAGTAGTCTGAAATTTTCTGTTGAGATACAGTTAATGTTTCAAAAGATCAGAACCATCCTGGTGTGTTCTTACTGACAGAGTGGTTAAGGTTGGAAAGGATCTCTACAGGTCACTTAAGTCACGGGGTCCAACCACGCTGCTACAGTTCCCAGTACTAATAACATTCTTATCAACATTGCATTGGAACTTAAGATATGCTTTACCTTGTTTCCTATTTGTATTTTGCGTCTAGATGTGCATTTCTTGGCTTTAAAGATGCTAATGAAGCAAAGTTAGCAGTAGAGGAAATGAGCAAGAAACAAATAAAAGGAAAGACAATAAGTGTTGAGCTTGTAAATGATTCATCAGAGAACAAATATTCTGTTTCCCAAATACTTAAAAAGAAGCTGTGGCATGAAATCCACTCTGTCAACAACAGTCAGAGAAATGATGAAGATAAAACACTCACTTCAGCCTCCAATTCAGTGGAAGCTCCTGGTACCACCTCTGCTTCTGAGAAGGCACCCCTCATTCCCACTGCTGCTTTAACAATTCCTTGCTCTACCCAAGTACCTTCGGAAACAAAGTGTCCTGGTCCAAAATCTTCCGTTGAAGAGTTGGTACGTTTTCTGTTTGCAGTTAATCGAAAGCTCAGTAATGATTACTGGGCTCCTTTATGTGGCAGACTAGAGCCTTAACAGTTACAGCTCTGTAACATGTTACCTTAGTCTATATTGAGTGACATTGGGATATGAAAGCACGTTATGTCTCAGTAACAAATTTCTGTCATGCTGGAGAAGAGTGAGAGCACCGTTCACTTGATCCTGCATCAAGTTGTGATGGTCCCTCTTTTCCTTAATCCTAAACCAGGAACCTAGGACGGGATTTGCACAGGGATTTTTTATCTTGCTTTTCTCCTCTTTGAGTTCTCACTTGAAATGCTTTCTGTTTGAATGCCTTCAGATTTTATACAGAAAAGGTTTTCAGACAGTGGAAGAGAAGCTGTTGGATTTTTAAATGTGAATCTAAAGAAATGTCATGTGTAAATTTTCTTCTAATTCATTCAGGTTGGTCGGTCCTTGGAGGATGAGGCAAAATTAGTAATTGGTGTTGCTCTGACAAACTGTGTAGATAGGCTGTGTTTGGGGATTGAACTTCAGAAGTTGTAGTCTTCTGGGAAATAAAAGCTGGACCTAACGTAATGCAGCAGGAATGCCAGTTACCATAAATACGTGGTGCAGTTTTATTTCTAAGCTACAGGTCTGATAACGTGACTGCTCATGTTAAAACACTTACTGATCTGAGTCTGTATTTCTTCATTTTTTCTTTTTCCATAACAGAAATAGTTCTTAGTAGTAAGGATCTGCCATAAAATTTGTACAATACATAACCTGCTCATTTTTTGCTGATTTTGATGCAATTCTAGGACACTGGAGACAATTCCCTGCAACAAGCATCTGCTCCTTTCTCCACTAATTCATTTGGTGCCTTCGTTTCTCCTAATACCTTGAATTTGAGCAGCTTTACCAAATTAATGATGAAACTTCAAGAAATCCATCCAGAGGCTAGTAGGTGAGAGTATTTGTATTTCAGTTCTACCCTGGTTTGTAATGAATCCAACATCTGCAATAACTAATTAGAGTGCTAAGTGGATTGCACAAAATGGGACGTAATCAGTCATTTCTGTTATTCCTACAGAGACAAAATTGTGGATGCTCTGTTGGAGGTGAGGAAGAACAATAAAGGTATCCTAAGTGGCTTGTCCATCAGTTCTATTATGGAAAGGACCTCTGTAATCCTAAGGAAGTCAGCGCCCAGCTGTAGCGGGGGAGAAAGCAACGTAAATAAGTGAGTATTCCAGCCTGCAGAAATGCAAACACAGGATGTTGTGTAGCTGTACAGCCTGACTAGATTAGGAAGGAGTTTATTGTAAACCTCTGCCTGCATTTAAAAACACACACACACACTAAATGGATCAGTGAAACAACAGTTTCTGAGTAACTGTTTTGCAGAACATCTGTAAATAGGTGAGCTTGCTAGCTCTGTGCACTTCATAAAACTTGGTATGTTGGGTTTTTATTATGCAAACTTTTAGTGGGGAACATCATAAATATTCTGGGCAAAGGTGACATCTAACGGCCAGTTTGTGTGTAGCATTTCTTAAAGAAAGCCCAGTTAGGTTCAATTTTGGTTTAAAATTGATGATCTTTGTCTGATGTTTGAGATTTAGGTCTTGTCTAGATATAGAACAGAGTACGTTTGCATGTCTTGTAGTTTTTGCATGTTAAAGGGATTTGTAGGTGATTCCTTTCCTTCTGCTGGGTTGCCTGGAAATCTTGCATGTTGGGGCTGCTGCAGCACATTCAGCTTGCTAGGAGAAGCAGAGGAAAGGGCCTTCCCACCTCTCACTGCCAGGACTCCTAAAACACAGCAGGTTACAGCTCCAGCTGTGGCTACGTGAGGTCGGCTGGCTTGGTGCCCCACGTGCCTTCCCTGGAAGCACTGATCCTGCTTCCCACAGTAGGAAGGTGCTCCAGCCACCCCGTGAACACCCCGTGCCTAATCACCCAGCCCAGGCTTTCTGGTGGGATGGGTGGTCACTAGGGCTTGAAGTCTCTTTGTGGTGGACCATTTGTACTGCGTCTCTTCTAGGCTTTCATTTTAATCTTTCCGTCAGAGCAGGGGGATGGGAAGGGTGCTGCGTGACTGGCTGCAGGGGCCTCAGCTTACTAGGCCAGGGAGGGTGAGGTAGTGGGGCAGGAATAAATAGGAAGCAGCTGTTGGATCTGTCATCTCATTGAAAACCATCCTTATGGGGGGAGAAAAACAAAACCCAGAAGTGGGAGTTTGGGAAGAAATGAAGGGGGAACCTCTCCCTCGGGACAAATTGTACAGTTGTGCAGATAGTGGGTAAGACAAGTCCCTCCAAAAAAACCCAAACCCGAAACACAACCCAGAACTGCATGGGTGTATATATACCTAGTGTCCTCTAGGAGACATCCTTGAGTTGATGCTCGTTTCAGTCTCTCACAAAAGCTTCATATTCTGCTTGTCTTAAGGCAGCAGCAGTGCAGGTTTCCTCTGCTGTTTCATACATTGTTAGAAACGCTGTGGCATCACCTGTGTCCCCAAACATGCTCTGTCCAGCTGCACGATACTTAGTTTTCTGCAGTGCTTTCTTCCCAAATCCGCAGCAAATTTTGAAAGCTCTGATTTTGGTCTCAAAGCTCCCATTTCAAGGATATGAAAGAATCAGTTTATTTTTAACTGATACGGTGCCTTCTGAGCTAGAAGTATTTATGCTGATAGCTTTACGTATCCAGGGGTCGTTCCCACGTATACTCTATACATCGTTCCCGAGTATACTCTAGGCTTGCTAGTCTGACGTTTGACTGCCCTGTAAGCTTTTGCAGATGCCACTGTGAATCGAAGTTATTAGTTACAGCTCTACTGACTGACTTCCTCGGGGTTAGATACAGACATAGGGTCATCCCCAAAATATGTTACATTTGAAAGGTTGTTTAATTAGTAAGGTTTTTTACAGCCTGAAATGTATTGTGCTTTCCTTGTCAAGTCATTTTTAAAATGGTGTGTGGGCTTGACAGTCATAACAGGAAAAAAATACTATCGTAGGAACAATTGCTTTGTGAAAGAGATGATCTGTAACAATTTTTACGTTCATAATGAGGGTGCTGTGAAATAGCCAAGTCAGTAGTGAGTAATGGGGGGAGAAAACTTCATCTTCCCTTAGTAAGAATCAAGTACCTACTAAGTTTAAGAAATGATGATTTATTATAAAGCTCATTTACGGTATTCTCATGTGTGTATGGCTTCGGGCTTTCCTGAAGGGTAGGTGTCTGCTGAGAAATACCTCTCAGAGCCTTATGTTCCTGCAGAATGACAAAGCATCCAGAGTTGTACAGATCCTGCTTCTTTGTCAGGCTGTATTATAGGCTGTTTTATGTAGTAACTTAAATCCAGACCTAAGGTAAAGCATGATACAAGCTTCTTTAGTGTTTCTTTGGCGGAGTTAGCTCAGAGTTGGACATTTAAATGACTCTAAATCTTTTATATGTGTTAACTTTGGAGGAGTAACTTCATTAGAAAAGGGTGAGAGAAGTTAGGTTTATGCTCAAAGCAAAACTAAGCAGTGCTTTGAGCACCATGAAGAAGTGCATGGAGCCTCTTCACTCCTAAACGATGACTTGACATCTTCATTTTGAACTCACTCAGTTAACTAAAGAAAAAAACACCACTGGATGCGATTTGTTACACAAAGACCTTTATTTTATTGTAATAAATTCTTCTGGGTGGTTCTTAAAGCTAGGAAACCTCACTTTTCTGCATACAAAGTTCTGAACTGCATGGCAAAAGCAGTATAGCTTCTAGTGATTTTCTGGGGTACTAAAATTGCTGATGCTCAATATACTTCAGCTCGGGCATACACATGCACGACTTACCTGCTTTTTTCTTTCTTTCTTTCTTTCTATCTAGATGACTTTCTGATTGTGAAGAACTCAACGCTTCACTTGGAAGATTTTTGCAGTCTAGCTTGTTCTGGGATCATTCTGTATTTCTCGTTTGCTTTATTTCAGTAGATCTTAATGAAAACTTGTGTAGCATCACTGCATGATTTGCAGGTCTTGGTTGAGGGAACGTAGCCTGGAGGTCAGTTGGTTGTTTTTCTGTATCGGCAGAAATTAAATGATTCTTCCCAGTTCTGTTGTTCTCCGCAGTTGGTTCAAGTGCTCAGCACGTTTCTTGAAGGCTGAAGAAATCACATTTCAGTGCGGCGAGACTTCTCTAATAACAGCAGGACTTTGCTGTGCTGAAGTACACAACCCTTGCACACCACTTCATTTTAGGCATGGCAGTAGCTGCTACGATGTTAATAAATAGCCAGCACACTTAAGTTCTTTCCTGATAGTATTCTAAATGGGCTGCAGAAGTGTCACGTATCCTTCTAATACCCGCAGGAGAGGGAGGCAGCGAGGACGTGGAGCAAAGCAGGCTTTGGAGCTTGCGGTGCTGAGGGCCGTGGTTATGCAAGCCCTGTGCTGCAGCGGCGACTTGCGAGCAGGCATCCCCTGCCTGCCCTCACTGCAGCACCATTCCGCGTCCTGGCACGGCACGTCTCTCCTTCAGCATCATATTGTAGCCTAGATTCTCTTCTTCCAGAATACGGCTGCCTTTTTTTTTTTTTCTTTTTGTCTCCTATTCCACTTCTGTTGCTGTAAGCAGAGCTGGGCCTCTGCCTCCTCCTCTTGTGCCCCATAGCGCAGGACAGGGGTGCGCTCGTCACCCCACTGCTGCCCCTGAGCCTTTGGGTCGGGGTTGGTGCAGGGGGAGCAGGAAAGCTGAGGGAATCCATCTGTTGGTTTGGGAGGAGATGAGGAGAGGTCTGCACTTTAAATCCTGGCGGAGCAGGGAGAGGCAGCTTAGGTGTGTGTGGGGTGAGGGGGTGAGGAGAATTATTGTTGGGATCAGGGGCAGGCTCCCCCACCTGCCGTGGTGCTGCGTCCTTGTCCATCTCTGTCCCTCTGCTGTGCTCTGCTCTAAATCCTGCCTGCGTGTGCTGCCGCAGTTCCCCTTACCTGTGAATAAAGGTTAAAATCCCTTCTTCAAAAACTTGTGCTGCCGTTTCCCTTCCTCCAGCCCTCGCCTCTCTCCTCCCTTAGCAGGACTCCTGCCGTTAACGCTTCAAGCCCCAGCCTCCTCCTTCAGCCCCGAGCTGCGGGGCTGGGATGAGCTTTGTCCCCCCCCCTCTCTCTCTGAAAGCAGCTGGAGGCTTCTCTCCGCCGCGTTATTAATAGCAAACGCCGCCCTTCGCTTCGTCCCGCGCTTCGGCAGCTCTGCCAGCCCCGGCTTCTCCCTCCTGCGGCCCCTCGGCGGGCTCAGCCGCTCTCCAGCGGGGACAGGGCCCGGGCATGGCCCCACTGCCGCGCCGCTTCCTCTGCTTCGTGCTCGGTAGGTGCGCGCCTGGCCCCGGCACCGCGACTTGGAGGCCAAGGGTGAGCCACCGGGGCCATCCTGGCCTTGAGCCCCTCTGAGGCTGGCTGCTGGGGTGGAAATCGGCCTCCGGGGCTCCCGTCCCTCCCTGTGCCCCTTCTGCCTCCTCCTGCGGAGATGCTCCGAAAAACGCTCAGCTGGGACCCGCCGTGCTGCCCGTGCGGGGCTCTCGGGGGGTTGTAGGGCTTCAGGTGCAACAGGCGGCGGGTTGGGCTGCTCACCCCAACACACACACGCAGTGCAGGGCTTGGGAGGGCCGTGCTTTGCTTACTTTTTCTTAAAAGCGTGTTTATTTAAGGTTGTTTAAAGGGAAACCGGGTGCTGTGCGTGCGCTGCTGCTCCTGCATGAGTTCCTTTTCCCTTCGCTCTCTGAGGGTTTTCTCCTCCAGCCCCGCTGCGAGCTGTGCCATGCAGCAGGCTTCTCCGAGCGCCCTAATTAACTATTTAGTGCTCCCTGGCTGCTGCTGCTCCGCGGGGAACCGGCGAGTAGTTGGGATTTCTCCCTGCCCTGCTTTCCCCTGTCCCTTTCCCCTCTCTCCTCACCAGTCTGCCTCTCAGGCTCAGTGCTGCCGGGGTGTCTCACGCCGCTGATGCTTTCTCCAGCCATGGGTGGGATGCCCTGGCCGTATTTCCATCCTCCTCCTCATCGGTCCCGAGTCCCAAAACCCAGAGCAAAGCCCACCTCTCCCCATCCCCATCACAGCTGGTCCTTGTGCTGCTCCTCCCTCCTCGTGCCTCGGTGCCGCGGCTTTGGGCGCTGAGAGCGGGAGCTGCTGCTTTTTGCCACCTCCCGCAGGAGCACAACATCTGCCTGCGTGCGAGCCACTTAGCCCTGATAGATGGCAGCTAATCCCGCTGCTGAGTGGCAGATGCACTTGGCTTTCACTGCGTCCTCCTCCTGCATTTATTTTTCCTTTAAGCACGTTAGGGGGAAAAAAAGCCAGTTTGTTCCTTGCAGGGCTGGTTGGCAGCGGGCACCTGCCAAAAAAAAAACACCTTCAAGGAGAAAAAGTGCAATAAATTGTTCCCTAGCTGCACATGTGGCTCACCAACAGGTTGTGGTCCGGCTTCGCAGCCTGGGTTGAGCAGGCAGCCAGGGCACCGCAGCTCTTTGTGTTGCTTTTCTCCCCGATGAATTTTTATGTTTATTTAGTTTGTTCTGCAGCAGGACGCAACGCACAGCCCATAAAGGGCCCGAAATATCGCCTCGGCGAGCAGATGCTCGGCGCCGATAATTGTCGGAGCTGGCTGGAACCAGGGGCGGGCGATGCCAGCCCCGAATCCCCGCTGCGTGGCTGCAACCTGTGCTTCTCCCCATTAATTCAATCAAGGCGGATTATTTTTAAAACGCCCACGCTATTCATTAAGGATGTAATTATCTTTATAACTAACTGCTCATGCCAGGTTTTGGTCTGTAGGCAGCCAGCAGTCGGTGTTCGGGGTGCCTGGCTTTTGATCCATCCTGGCTTTTTCATTCATCCCTCCTCTTTTCAGAAGGTTTTATTTTATTTACGTGCTAAATCATTTTTTTGGGGGAAAGGGAAGTATTTGCCGTTCTGCCCCGCGTGGTGCCAAGGCCAGGGCCGTTCAGGATAAATCCCCTTCCTGGAAAGGTGCTTGGCAGCCGCCAGCACCCAACGAGGACATCGTGCTTCTGCTGGGCCAGGTGGGAAGCTGAAGCCTGCAGCGATGAGGTGCTTCAGAAGCCTGCTGCCATCCCCAAGCGTGCCCTTGTTTCTTCTCAAATCCACTTCTCAAATCCTAGAGTGCTAAATCAGTGTCGAGTCCAGAGACTTCATCCAGTGCCCCCGGATTTGTTACTCCCTTTCATCGTGTGGCAGAAAGGAAAATGAGAGGGTTGCTGTTTTCCAGCCAGCGCTGACAAGAGATGTGGCCTGCAGCTGAGCTGAATAATTGTGAAACCCAGACGGATGGCTGAGGTTGTTATTCTGGCGGCCCGGCGGGTTCGTGGTGGTGTAACCTCAGCTTCAAAGCCAGGTGCCCCCGCATCCCTGGGATGCGAAGAGAAAAGTTTCCCTCTGTAAGTACCAACCACTCGAGCAGCTGGGTACTCCTGTGGCCACTCACGGGTAAAAAGAAGCACACAAATGGTGAAGGTTTGTGTGAAGAAGTGTGCAAATAATATGAACGTGGTAGCATTCAATAGCAGAGGCATTCCTGATTTTTGCTATCTCTTCATGGTTTTCCAAACACTGCAAGATGAAATAAAATACACAGAAATAGCCACCGGTGGCTGCTGGTGCTGGGAGCTCCCGATCTTCCTGTACTGTTCCCATGCCCGCTCAGCCTTCCCCGATGGTCGGGGATCTGCCTGTTCCTGTCTGACCTTCTCCTGTTACTGCCTGCCCTAAATACGCCTTCCTCCCAGCCCTGCGCTCCCCGGGCTCCTCGCCTTCCACCCCAGTGGCTCTGCCGGGATCCCAGGGATGGCTGCGCCATCGCCTTGTGGTGGCAAATACATCCCGTCACGCCTCAGACACCTCCGGGGATGGCACTCCACCACCTCCTGGGCAGCCCCGTCCGTGACAAAAGCCTGCCCAAGGAGAGAAGCTGTGGTTATTTAGAGAAAAACCCTGCAGAAGGACTCCTCAAGGGGTTTCAGGGCCGCCACAAGTTCCTGCCTGGGGAACTTTTTTTTTTTCTTGATATTTTTGAGCCCTTCAGTGCCCGCATGGTTTTTTGGCTAAAAGATACCCAAGCGACTCCTTTGTGCAGCTCTCAGCTGAGCCCTGCTCGGTGTCTGCTGGGACTCCCCAGGACACCAATCCCACGGCAATCAAGAAATGCCCGAAAAATCCTTCCCTCAATCACTTTATGACCGGTGCTCTTGGGATGCTCGCCGTGGGACGACGAAGCCGCGCTCCTTGCGGCGATGCCTCCCACCAGGCAATCAGCCACCCTTCACAGGGAGCGTGTTCATTAACAGCAGCGTGAGTCCTCGTTAGATGAACCCCCCTGGATCTGGTGGAACTTTCTCCTGCAGCCCTGTCTGCCTGAAGTATGAAAGCGAAGAGCCCTTCGCCGTGATAAAAACCAAACGTGCCCGCGAGGGACCCTGCTTTGTGGCAGCAGGGCTCGTTTCAGTGCTGAATACAGGACAGATGCAGCCTGCAGCAGGTGCTGCAGCTGGGGGTCATTGTGTCTCCTCTCCCCACCCAAGGTGGAGCTGCCAGTTAGGGTTTTCCTCCAGGAAATGGCCACGGTGCAGGGAGAGATGTCAGGAAGCACTTGGGCTTCCCTAATAATGGTTGTTTTGCTGGTAGGAGCGAGTGACCTGACGCCAGCCTCTGTGCTAATCGGCACGGGCAGCCAACTTCTGCTTCTCTTCCTTCTCGTGCCGTGTTGGCCTTGAATTTCTCCAGGTGGCTTCACCTTCCCTGCTCCCCAGCTCTCCGTTTCGCGTGTCTCACTCGGCTCTGCCGGCCTCCGGTTCCTCCTTAGCTCCTGCTTCCCCTTTGGCCGCCCGCCTGGCTGCATTTTAATCCGCTCTCCCTCTCCCCACCCCACGGTCAGCATCGCTCCTGTGGGGCTCGTCGTGACCCCTCACTCCCGAGCCCCCCATGTACCCCAGCCCCAGCAAGAAGAGAACTTGGAGGCTGCTTCTTATCAGGGCTTTCAGGGGCTGTGGGACTGCGCAGTGAGGATTTGGGGGCTGCAGCAAGACCGTGCACGGAGGGCATTGCCTGGGCGGCAAGGTGTGCTGGCACGATGGCTGCATTCAGGTGCCAAAACGCCCCGGCTTTCCACCACTGCCAACATTTCTGCGGCTAAATGCCGCGCTAATTATTTCTTTTGTTTTAAAAAAAATAAAATAAAAATAGCGCCCCCTCCCCTCCCCTCCCTCTTGTGCGCGGAGCTATTCACACGTGGCAAAAAATAGAGCTGGTATGCGATGCTCGCCTGCAATGTGCTCCAGTAGCTGCAAAGGCACGAGCAGGCTCTTTGGGACCAAGAGCAAGGTGTTATTTATAGCCAGCCTCGGTAAATCATTCCCACTAAGGTTTTTCTTTCAGCCTGATCCCCGTTCCCTGTGTAACATTGCTGTTATTTTTCCTGGCAAAACCGTACACATTTATCCAGCAATGTGATCCAGCTGGGACCCCGAGCAGGCTGCCCGTGGCCGTTCCCTGCTGCCCTTCCTCCACATGCCATCCAGCCTTCTGCCCCCAAAGTCTCTGAGCCCATAAGAAGCATCCTGTTCTCCCCTGATCCCAAACCGCTGCGTGGCAGAGAGCTGCAGCCTGAGGCTGGACCAGAGGAGACGAGAATTTCACTGTGCTCCATGCAGAGATGGGTGTTTGCTTGGCAGCCCAGCACCTTGCAGGGAATGTTTAATGGTTCCCTTGCACAGAAGCCGCTGGGACCTGTCTGTGCTGTTGCATTTAACCAAAACAATGTGAGTTTAAACCCAAAAAAAGGTGCCCAGCAGAGGACAAAGCTGCATCCAATCTTATTTATGGCTTACCTGAGAGGACGCCGTGTGCCTAACCCGGCTCAGGGCCAGCACCTGACCCGTGCCTGTCTTTCAGCCCACCACTTCATCGCGGCCACGGCGTGCCACGAGGCGGAGTACGGCCGGCAGATCCGCGAGCGCTGCCTCCGGCCCTTCAGGCTGAGCATGGAGGGCATCGGGCAGCGGCTGTGGTGCGACTGGGACGAGACCATGGGGTAAGTGCCCGGGGGGCACCGCGGGTGCTGCCGCGTCGGGGACGTCCCGCAGCCCTGGGGAGCTGCAGGAGGCACCGGGACGTGGGGCTGGGCACCCTGCTCGGGGTGGCCCTGCTGGAGCGGGGCTGAGGCAGGTGGGCCTGGGAGATTTGTTTTGCACTCAGGTTCCCCACTCAGTCCAAAACACCCTAACACATCACAAAAAAAAAAACCCAAGCTCTGCCTCGGCATGGTGAGACACCTTCAGCCCTTGCCTACCTGAAGCTGCTCAAAAATGCTGCTCTCTGCACCTCAGGATTGGGATGTTTTGGTGCTTTGTGCTTGTTTTCTTTGTCGTGCCGTGGCTGTTCCCAGCCCAGTGCACAAAAACCAGCTCTTGAGATGCACTGGAGGGTTGAGGGAAGTTAGGAACTGTGAGCAGGTGTGGCTGCACGCCACGAGTGTTTTGCAGAAAAGTAGAGGGTTTTTGGCTAATTTCCTGCTTGGTCCCCTTCTTCTGTGCCAAATTCAAATCTGTATTTGTGTATATAAACATAAGTATATGCATCTGTTTATGTAGAGAGAGCCTAGGAAAAGCACAGCCTGGGTTTCTTTCCCCTTTGTTGGTGATAAGATGGAGGGGAGGAGTGGGAAGGCAGTGTGGGCGATGCTCCGATCCCGAGAAACCTCAGAAAACGCTCCGCTTCCTCAAAGAGCCTTTGGCTTTGTGGGACCGGCGTTAGCCACGAGCCAGCTTTTCCTATAGGGAAATTATCTGGGGGATTTGGGCGTCCCTCACATTTTCTGTGCAGCCCGGGGCTGCTGCCATTGCCCGGGATGGTGGCTGGGGCCTGCTCGGGAAGCACAGGTGCATTCAGGAGCTTGTTCTTTGCCTCTGACATCCTGTTCTCCTCCTAAATAGCTTCTGCTAAACTTGTTATCCCCAAGGCACTTGGAGGAAACGTTAATAAACTTGCAGCCTTTAATTTGATTGCGTGAGTCCGTGGGAACACAAGCCTGGGGTTGTTTAAGAGCCGACATTCCTCTGATCCTCCCGTGCCCTCAGGACAGCCGGCTAATCAGGTAGAAATAGCTCAGCTGTGGCTGCAGACAACCTGCCCTGCATGGGCAGGGGTTTGGGGTGAGGAAAAGCAGCGTTAGGAGCATGGCCTGGGTAGGGACGGCACCAGCTGGGTGCCTGCTGCAGCAGCAGAGTGAAGGGTTTTGCTTCTGCTGAGCACGAGGTGGAGAAATGGAAATAACCCCCCTGCCTAGAGCCTTGAGTCCTCTCTGTGTCTTCCCCCAAACCCAAGAATTTTGGTGCTTGAACCTGGCTGAGATGGAGAGCCGAAGGAGAAATGTGTGCAGGTGCAAAGCCACCGTCACTCCTCCACGTCCTATTGCCACAGCTGTGCCCGTCAGTCCTGGCTGGGCACCCGGCTGTCACCCGACCCTGCCCCGCTACGAGCACACCCCCGGGGCTCTGCTCAGCTCCCAGCTCTTTGGGATGCGCCTCGCGGTGCCGCACGTCCCTTCCGACAGCGTGAGGGTGGTTACTCGCTCATCCACACCCCTCTACGAGCTACGAGGAGACCTGTTGTCCCTTGGAGAGCCTGTCCATGGCCCGTGATCAGCCCCTGATTAAGGACAGGTGTGGGAAGGCACTAACGAGCACTGCAGGAGGCATTTCGTGTCCCGAGCTGGTAGCTGGTGGGGCACCCCTAGCGAGGAGGTTTCTGCCATGGCCAATGTGGATATGTGGAAGAAATTAAAAAAAAATATATATTTTTTTTCTCTGTTGTTCTAGGATTAGGTGTGAGTAGTTAGGATGGGAACAAAATGCCTTTGTACATATTTATATAGCTGTTTTTACACGTACAGACATTTTTTTAAGCAGGTGTTTTGTACTTTACTCAAGGTGTCAGAGCGCTAACTGGGTCAGGCCCCCTGTAGTTCCTAACAGCACCAGTACGGGCGTGTTGTTATAGCTAAATAAATATAGCCCAGACAGCACCAACACTTAAAAGCGGGCTCAAAGAGGCAAAACCAGATGGGAATAAAGAAAAAAAAACTTAGATTTTTATGCCTGGCTGCCTGCACGAAGCCCGGTGCCAGCGCAGTGCCCCTGTCTGTGTTGCAGCACCTACGGGGAGCTGACCAACTGCACGGCGGCCGTGGCCGAGAACCTCACCTGCTACTGGCCCAACCGGCTGGTGGACGAGTTCTTCGTGGCCGTGCACAGCCACTACTTCAGGAACTGCTCCCCGTCCGGCCGGGCGCTGCACGATCCCCCCAACGGCGTCCTCTGCCCCTTCATCCTGGTGCCCGTCCTCGTCACCCTGCTGATGACGGCGCTGGTGGTGTGGAGGAGCAAACGCAGTGAGGGCATCGTCTAGGGGCGGGTTTCGGGCACGGCGCGGCCGAGGAGCGTCCCAGGGGTGCCGAGGCCCCGCGGCGTCCCTGCCAGCCCCCTCCCCAGGTGGTGGTTCCCAATTAAATCAATCGTTAACGACCCGGTCACCGGACGGCGCGGGATGCTGGTGGCGGTGAGGATGCTGCTCGCCGGGTACCAGGGCAGTGCTGCGGCAACGCTCGGCCTTTCCCTGCTTCCCTCCCAGCACCCCACAGCCCCCACTGGGGGGAAAAAAAAATAAAAAGGAAAATTTGGGAAAATAAGGAAAAAAAAAAGACAAATGGGGGGATTGGAGTCCTGCCTGCGGTGCCGGCGCAGCACTGGGACGTGCCATGGCCACGAGGATGGCAGGTCAGGGTGCAAGCTGGGTGATGAAACCTTCACTTTTCTTCCTTTTAGCCTTTTTTTCTTTGTTTACCCTTTTTAAGGCCAGGAAGGGCACCTTCTCCCCCCAGCCCACCCATGGACGGTCGCTGCCCCGCGCTGGGAGGTGACGCCGGTGGTGGCACTGGTGGCCTTGGCGGTGCCGCAGGGCTGACGAGCAGCGGGAGTTGGATGCGTTTCCTAATAAATAAACACCCACAGAAGTAAAGCAGGTGCCGGCCTTTGGTGTGAAGCCTGAGCGCTCAGCCCCTCCACGAAGCCACGGCTCTACGTGGATCAGGGGCCTCCGGAACCTGCTGCCCGCGGGCTGGGGTTGGGGCGTCCCTGTGGGGTCTCCTTTGGGGTTCCAGGAGCTTCACCCCAAGCTGGGCCCAGGGGAGGGAGGGGTTGGGGCATCAGAGGCTGAGAAGGGGGGATCGCACCCAGCTCCGTGCTGCGGGGAGGCTGCTGGGGAGGGAAACGTGGCAAGGGCAGGGCAAGAGCAGCCCCTGATGCCACCCCAAGGCCCCACTGCTGCCCCCAGGTAGGGGTTTCACCCCTGGCTCTGTGCAGCCCCCTTGCTTCCATTCTGAGGGCCCCAAAGCTGCAGGACGGCTCAGCACCCTGCCTGCATTCACATCCCTGCAGGGACAAAGGTGAGAGCCCCAAAAGTGTGGAGCTTCTCCCCTTGTGCTGCAGGAGGGAAGGTGACAGGTACTGGGGTACAGTGAAGGAGGCTGGTGTTCCCTTCTGCCTCTGTAAGCAAAAATATGATGAGCTTCCCCACATCCATGTGGGGTTAACCCTCAGGCAGTGCCCGGGCGCCACACAACACACGCTTGCTCCGTAGGAAACCACACGAACATTTATTTCTATGGTTCATCTATTTATAAAAGCATTTCGCTCCCCGGCGGGAGCTCGGGGTGCCGCAGCTGGCAGCAGGGGAACGCCAAACGCCCTCGGCCTGGACTCCGAAGCGATTCCTGAGGTTCGTGCTACTCTTCTCGGGAGGAGCTCGGCTTTCGCCTCCTCTGACCGGGTGGGGGACGTGCAGCTACTTACAGACGAGGCAATTACAGCGTGAAATCCTTCCAAATTACCCAAAAAAGCCAGGCGCACAGGAGTGTTTGAGAGGGGGTGCAGCGCGGTGTTACTCCAAGGCTGAGGGACACCCCCGGGTGCTCTCCGGATGACGGTGCCTGAATTCACTTGCATTAGATCCAACAGCGCCTGCTGCGCCCTTACCGCATCCAGATCCGAAAGCCAAAGGCAGATTTCTTAAACAAAAAATCTGCCTTTTGTTACATTTTCACAGAAATATATATATAATATATATATAATCTTACTAATACTACACATTTACTTAAGTTACGGATTAGCCTATATTTCTTTTAGCTACTTCACACAATGGATAGAAACAAACAAAAAAAACATACTGTAGCCCAAACAGGAGCTGAAAATAACATAAAAATCCCAAACTTGTGACAAGATGGACTTACATTAAATATAATCAGAATTTCAATACCAGAGCTAGAGTTTTGTTTCGGGCTTGCGCTCGGGCAAGCTCTCAGCCTGACTTCACTGACTCTTGGAGAAAGCTCCCGTTGTTTTTGCTCATCAAAGGCAACAGGATTGGGATTTGGTTCACAGGAGACCATTTTATTGCCAACTTGAAGTGTTCCAAAACCACACCACCTCCTTTCTTTTTTCTTTTTTTTTTTTTCCCCAACCTAGGCAAGAGTTTAAAAAAAAGTGTGTAATTACAATTTCAATAGTGATTTCTTGCAACTTCTCAAGCGTATCTCATCAACAGGATATACAGTACAGTTCAGAGGAGTAAACATTTTAAAAGTAAGCAAACAACTTTTTTTTTTTTTTCAACCAACATACACAATTTCTCGCTGTATTTATGCTGAACTCTCCTTTTAACATGGACAGGTTATGAAGTTAGTTTTCTTCTTCGGTACAACATGGACACAGGACTAGTACAATCCGGGCTGGTTTTCTGGTTGGTGTTGTTGAAGTTCAGGACAACTCTGCAGCATGGAAAACGTGGTCCTGCCATCCCTCCCCCTTCATCATCTCGCGTAGCGCTTAATGTAATCTTCAACTTTATTTCGGAAGTCCTCCTAGAGGGAAGCAGAGGCAGAATTACCGCGGGGGAGCCGGAGAGGGACTGAACAGGGCTTCAGCTCTGGTGCATAACCGAGCAAGATCGGTCACTGTTTTTTTGTCTGTCACAGCCTAGAGAATTAAAATTTGATAATCCAAGCGCCTCGTTTCCAAAAGCGGTTCAGAGGGGACACAGCGACACGGACAGCCCTCCGCAGAGCACCCACAGGACTGTAACACAGCCTCTGCACCCGTGGAAAAGCACCGGCTTCTGGTGTTTTATCGTTAACATTAAAAAAAAATGAATTAAAATCCAGCAAACAGGAGACAAAGAGGGCCTTGAACACAGTATGGGCCACGGACCACACAAATCCTTCAGGCACCAAGGCAAGATCGGTGTTAGGAGGAGCCCAACGCCTGCAGCCACAACCCGCAGGGAGGCACAATCCTGCTCTGAGCACCGCAGCGGGTCGGGGAGCACAGCCCCAGGCTCGCTGGCATGCCAAGAGATGCCCTTCCAAGAGATGCCGAGTGCCCTGGTGCCCTGCCCCGGGCAGGGAGCCCTGTTACACCAAGGTATGGAAGGCGACAGCTTGCACTGCTTGGAAAGAATGACTGATTGTTGGGCAAGGACTTTAAGGCTGTTTTTTCACTGTTTTGTGAAGAGCAGGAAGAAGGGAGCACCACGAGACGCGCTACGGCTTTGAGTGTCAGTGCCAGGAAGGTCTGAAAAGCAGCGAGCGGTCACCTCCGGGGTGAAGCTCTTACAGACACCCACAAAACCTGTGAAGTGCTCCAGGTCTCTTCCAGGAAACCACCCCGAGGGCTGCGTGCCACCAGGGGGGCAATGCCTTCGCCTCACGCACAGCTGCCTCCACGCCTGGACACGGTGAGTGTGCAGAGAAACCAGTGCTGGGGAGCTGCTGCCTCCTCTGCTTTAAATAAGACGTTGTGCATCAGCCAACTTCAATCCTCTGACAACACTCAGAGCGCTGAGTAGCACGCTCAAGTAGCACGCTTGTAAGTAACTACTTACAAGCAGCTCGTCTCGGAGCGGTCCCCGGGTCTCGGGCTGTCTGCAGCACCAGAAATCTGCCGGTGCCTCGCGTCTGCTAAAATATCACGCAGCCAAAAATAAGTGGCACTTTGAACTTGTTTTCAGCTCGGCTAAGTTGTGGACTACCTTGATGCAAACCAGAGCAATTACGCACGATGGCACCGCACGCTGGAAACCTTGGCTGGGCGTGATGGGCATCCTCAGCACTACAGGCTGATCCCTCGCCGCAGCACAAGGCACGAGGCCAGGAAAAACAAGGCCAGGAAATACCACTGGGCACGTACTGGGGCCAGCTGCATCATTCTGGAAAGGCCTTGCAGAGGATCTGGATAGGTTGGAGAGCTGGGCGATCGCCAACCGCATGAAGTTCAATAAGAGCAAGTGCCGGGTCCTGCACCTGGGACGGGGAAACCCTGGCTGCACGTACAGACTGGGCGATGAGACGCTGGAGAGCAGCCTAGAGAGAGGGATCTGGGGTCGTGGTAGACAACAAGTTGAATATGAGCCGGCAGTGTGCCCTGGCAGCCAGGAGGGCCAACCGTGTCCTGGGGTGCATCAAGCACGGCATCGCTAGCAGGTCGAGGGAGGTGATTGTCCCGCTCTACTCTGCGCTGGTGCGGCCTCACCTCGAGTACTGTGTGCAGTTCTGGGCACCACAGTATAAAAAGGACATGAAACTGTTGGAGAGTGTCCAGAGGAGGGCTACGAAGATGGTGAAAGGCCTGGAGGGGAAGACGTACGAGGAACGGCTGAGGGCACTGGGCCTGTTCAGCCTGGAGAAGAGGAGGCTGAGGGGAGACCTCATCCTTCCCAGACCCACAACACCTGCAGGCAGCTCAGGAGCCTTCTCCCTGCTCCCACCAGCCCCTTTTTATGTCTCCCAAATGGAAAGCTGGGCTCTCTGAAACGCCTTCCTGGCAGCAGCACGTGCTGCCTGCGGACGTGGCTGCTGACAGGAGGCTCTCTTCTGTAACGCTGCCTTCACACGCCGTATGGCCCAGCAGCTCCTGGTGAGCAGCACGCCTGTCTGCGTGCACATCTGTCTGTGCAGGGCTGGGTAACCAGCAGCACAGAATTACGCACTCTGCACCACGACGCGGCACGGCGCAGCTGTCCCCGTGCCACCGGGGCTCTCCGGGATCCCGAAGTCCAGCTCTGCAGGTGCTCAGCTCTCAAACCCACGTAGGAGAAGAAACCAGCTAAAACTGGAGATTGTACATGGCTTTGGAGCATGCCTGGAGCAGCTCTGCCCCAAGCTGCAGGGAGTTCAGAGGGGTACGTGAGCACCACGGGTCCTGGGGGGATGCGCGAGCAGTGCTGCAAGAAGTATTTGCTGCGTGAGTAATGCTCACCGAAATCACTGCTTCATCTGCTGAAAATCCCTCTGGGACAATCAATCCATCAAAGGGAGATTCCAAATGAATCGCGAGATGAAGAGCACGGAATAGCCAGCTCGTACAGCGCAGCTCACGATAGCATTGTGCTGGAAACCGGGTCACAGCACGGGCTGCGTGGTGCAACACACATCCCACCCAACTTCTCCTACGTGCATTGAAACAAAGAAGTTCAGCCAGTAAACTCCAAGCAAATAGAAACAGATTTGTAGATGACGCTCTGGCCAACAGTCCCAGCTTCAAACATCTACAGATTTCACAATTTCCACTTGTACTCTACGTTCCTGCTAGACAGCACGGAGCGTGCGACGATTTGCAGTAAGAAAATAGCAAAAACAACTCCTTGCCTAATTACATCGAGGTAAAAGTTACATGGACGGATGTATTACCAACACAATTCACTGCAGTCTCAACTGATGAGCTTCTTGTCTTGAAGACACTGAAATGAGATGAATTCCTAAAGCTATGGCACCTCTAGATTTGGGAACCTTTTGGAGAAACGCTGACCCGATCTGGCACCTCTCCGAGCGGCTGTGCCTTCTTCCAGCGTGCTCTCCAGCACCGAGCTGCACTGATTAACGGCTCTCCTATCATTAAGCTGTTAATTGGGGAAAAAGATCTGTTCAAGTACCCAACGCAAACACAATAAATGCTTCAATGCAAGTACCCACAGCAACCAGAGAAGCTTGCAGCTTGCTGAAAAAGAGTGTAAAACTCGGATTCTTTTTTACGTATGAAGCTGCATAATAAAACAAAGAGGACTGAGCTCCTTACCCCTAATGTAGTTGGCAAAACTTTTCTTCTTCCTGCTAAGGTTGAGCTTGGTTTCTGCCCTCAGGGAGGCCTTTCCACCCTCCTCGGGGCGTGTTAGGGTGGCTGCAGGCCGTGCTGCCCAGCTCCTGCAGGAGGATGCGCAGCTACTGCCTCCGGGGTGACTGCAGCGACTGAATTATGTTGGTTTGCTATTTCTGACCCACCTGCACATCAGTTAGATTTACAATTCTGGAAAATCCAAACTGAAACAACGAAGTAACGATCACAGAAATGCTCAATTGCTCCTGCTCTTCACTCCTTTGCATAAAGCAAGGACTGAAATATTAACAAGAAGCCACCGTTTTAACAGAAAATTATTTTAATCCAAAGTTTATCACCAGCTTTATATCCCAAACGACTTCTCTCAGGTCCTTGTGTTTTTACTTAAAGTGCATTTCAGTCCAAAAAAAGGGTCTTTGTGTGCCAGTAACCAAGCAACAGCCAGATGACATTACTCAGCCCCGTGCGAAGTTTTGGGAGGAGGATATAATCATCAGGTAGACTCACCCGTGAGCCCCACGAAACAGATTTAAAACGACCTTCCCTTTCTGTTCCTCCTCCGGGGAAATAATGAGTGCTCACGCCCACCAGCCCCCACACACCCACTCCCAGTTAGAGAGGAGCTGAATGAAACCTCTGAGCAACCCGAAGAGCTCACGTACGAGGCACGCTTCCAGCTCACACCCCTACCTTGCTACGATTTCCTCGTCACCGGTATATTTAGCTCAGCTTCGACACCATTTTGGGAATTTTCGGAGCTAATTACATTTGAGTTCCATAAAGAAAGGCTCAGAGAAAAAAGGGAGGGTGAAAAACCTGACCATAAACCTGGCCATAAGCATCTCCCCAGGCTCCCATGGCTAACAGACCCAGCCCTGGCAGCATCAACCTTTGGGCACTTTTCCCAAAATCGCTGTGCTGACAGGCAGGTTACAGGATCGATGTGCAAAGTGGCAGTGACCTACCTGCCTGCTGGAAGGAGAAAGGGAAAAAGCATTCCCTGAAGCTGTCAGGAGAGGAAAGGGCTCTGGATCGGAAGGCAGAAGGTGAAAGCTGCTGGGGCAGCCGGCGATAACTGCATCTCCGTCCCGGTCATGCAAAGGTGATGGGACCAAAAAAGTTGAGGAGGGCTAAGCAGAAAAATCAGATCAGGAGTGATGCAGGTCCTGACGTTCTTGCCAAATCTGCCCTTTGACTTGTGAAGCAGCTTGGCTGGAGGCAGCTGGAGAGAGCCCTCCTCTGTGGCTAGTGCCACTGCTCGTTGTAGGGCCAGGGCTCACCCCCAGCTGCATTCAGACCCAAGTAGAGGGAGGTCCAAGAGCCCCACAGCTATTCTCACCTTCCCTCAGGAGTGGAGACTTGTGTGAAATCCTCTCCTGTGGGAGCTTTTGCAAGTCATGCCCCCTCCAAGCCGTGCCCTGGGCCAGCAAACCTCACCCGGCTGGTGAGCGCTCAGGGCTCGGTGCAGGCACTTCTGCTGTCTGCTCACATTGTAGAGCTGTTTTTTTCCTAAATAACCCAAAACAAAAGCTCTCCTGTTCAGCCATTTATTTGCCTAAAGCACGTAAATCAGAAGCTGTAAGACATCTGCATTTCTTTCACATTTCTCTCATTACCTCCAGTCAAACCATCTGCAAAAGCTTAATCAACTTTCGCGCACCACAAAGAGGCTCCATCCGTAATCAAAGCGTTGGGAGCGATGGATGATGGCTCCTATAAATATTTCTAGCTCTCCAAAAGTAACTTTTGTTCCTATTTCCATCTGTTAGCACAATTAGCAGATGTGCTGGTGCTCATTTGCACATGCTGCTTAATGCGCTTTACGCTCAGTGGGAAAAGGCTTCGAGGCTGTAACACGGGCAGCATAAAACGGTGGGGAAATCCAAGAAAAAAACACAGTGCAGATCTCTAAATGAGTGAATGCTGCAGAAAAACAAAATGTTTGTCCTACCGCGGCTGCTGCAATTCCAAGGAGAACAACAAATACCAAGCAGGGTGGTCGGCTGTGCAAAGTAAGCAAAGGATTTGCTGCAATAAATACGGGGATAAGTAAATGTAATGACTCACGGGGTGAGATTCACACGAAGAGATGCTTTTGGGCTGGGGAGGTACTGTTGTTCTCATTAGGGCAGCTCAGCCGTAATCAAAGAGCAATAAAAGCCCAACAAGATGAATTAAAGATGTGTTTTTTTGGGGGGAATCTCAGGTGTTGAGCCCTCTGAGGGCTAAATTCTTTTCCGACCTGTAAAGCCTGGAAAGCAAAGGCTCTAAGACCAAGTTCATCTCCTGTGAAGCCTGTCCTGCTGCTTAACAACTTCCCACCCCCAAACGTGATGTCCCCAGCAAGCTCTGCCTGCCGGAGTCCTGTAGTGTGCCACCAACACCACAACCACGAGCACGCCTCGGGGCCAGCTCTGATTTCCCCCTCCCTACCTCCAAATCCCTGCGAGTCTCCAGCTAAGGCAGAAGTGCTGGTGTTTGCTGTAAGCCTGCACTACCTTAGCAAATATTCGTGAGAAAGCCTTGATGCAACACGAGCTGAATCGGTTACAAGTGCTTTGGGATTCATTACAAATAGAGGGGAAAAGAGTTGGCCTCCACGTAAGATTACAGGTTTGTCTGGCCAAAGGTGAGCGCATACTTCAAATCCTCGGATACGCTTGCGGGTGCATTTAATTAGAGCAATCCTTCAACGTCTCACAACCTCTTAGAAAACACTGGGAAAGAGATCCTCGCCTCAGCATCCAGGAATAAATGCGAGCTTCTTATTTTACTTGAAGGAGGGTAAAAAAACCCTCGCGCTTTTGTCACGTCACAGCTTTGTACTGCTCGAAACAAGCAGCGCTGCTGCTGAAGAAAACGTTCAGGGCCAGCTACTTCCTATTAGCAAGAGAGATTTCAGGATGTCAAGGGCTGGCGCAGGGCTATCAATTTGAATGAGGGAACGAGGTTAAGTGGAAAACCTTATAGCAGACAACGGCCAAAGCCAGATCCCAGGCCAAGAGAAGCTCAACCACGAGTACACAAAGCAGCACAGCAGGAGCACGCTAAGCTAAGCAACGCCTTGGCGCAAATATTCTGCAATGCAAATAGCTTAAAAAACGAGGGCCTGATAATGCCAGCTTGAAGCAAACATAGTGAGGGCTGCAACAAACCCCGGTCCAGACACACACGGAGCAGCCTTGCTGCTGCCTGCCCTTCCTCCAGCCGATTGCAGCGATTGAGCTGTTGACAAAGCCCAGCACTGAAGAAGCTGAAGATAAAAACACACCGATCTGCGTCCTAAATTCTTGGACCCCGGTGAACACACAAATCAAAAGGCTGAGGAGTTCCTGGAGGCACGGATCTGTTTTGGTAGCTCTTCCCGAGTCTCTCTGGAAGAGCAGGGGATGTCGGAGGATGGAGGTGGCTGTCCTAGCTCAAATAGGCTGCATGTTTGTGCTACGAGGGCTGGCACTGAGAACAAAGGTTTAGCACTCCGTACGAGTGTAACTTGAACACACAGACCAGCAGTTTCAGGCTCCCTGAATGCCAAGCAAAGCAATTAGCCAAATGTTTAAGCCTGATGTATGGGTACTACAAACACTGGCCCAACCAAATGAGCTCCCAGGTAAAATAAACAGGCACCACGAAGCCCCAAGCTGCTCAAGAAGAGACAAAAGTAGTGAAAAGGTCGAGTTACAGCCTACTGATGTCCTCAAGCATTTCGTTTCCAAGATTAATTGGATCATCCTGCAGCAGGAACTGTCTGGAGAGCTGTCCTGGCATACCTCAACAGGAGAAGAAACATCGGGAAACCACACGAAGACCAAGGGGTTCCTGAAATGTTGTAGCGATCAATCACCATGTCTGGCAAAACATTTCTTATCCTATTAAGTCTCATTACGAGCATCTCGTTGTTCTTACTGTTCCTGTGGGTCTATAGGAGCACTCCTACCACCTCCAGCTCTTCTCTTCCATAGCCTCGTGTCCCACAGCAAGCTCCTGGGCACTTTCTTTTTCCACTGTAATTTCTTGCTGAGAAACAAGCGCGACATCAGACTCAGCTACAATACGATGTGCAATTTTACAATGAAGAATTAATAACGCCAGATGAAGTCATTCCAAAGCACTGACCTCTTTAAGCAGTCTGCATAGCATGCGTCTCTCTATTGTTGGTGCAACTGTCAATTACAGAACGTGAGCTGTGCAAAAATCCCTCAAAAACCAATGAGCACTGCAGTAAGTATGGCTAAACACAGGAAAAAAGCAAAAAGCAAGCAAAAATACGCAGAGCCTGTAATCAGGATGAGGTAATGGGGCTCCCCTCGGTGTTGAATAGCTTGTGGGTAGTTCTCCCGCCCAGAATAAAGCCTCATTTAGTCGGTGTGCAAGAGTCAATTTGCAGCCCACACGCTTTTACCCACACAGCTACAGAATACCTAGCAAAACTGAGAACGGGCTTTAAAACACACATTCAGCAAGCAAAGATAGCCTGCAGATCTGTAGGCAGTCAGGTTTTGCTATCATTACTTCTCTCCTCCCCCCAGCACAATACAGCCTCCTTGATATTCCCCTCCTCTCTCCAGCTCCTTCATCCTCCTGGATGCGGGTGGGAGAGGGGTGAGGCTGTGCTCCGAGCTCCGCGTGCTCTCAAAGCCTTTTGCTGGTGGCTCCCTCCCAGAGCATCCTCTCTTTATTCCTGCTGCCGATTTTCATGGAGGTTCTGGGAACTGGATTTAGGGATGCTGCTATCTCTATAGGGTGATGGAGCACAGGAGCAGGCTGCAGTCTCCATCGGAGATGCCCAACACCCACAGGACGCCGTCCTGGGCAGCCTGCTGCAGCTGACTCCACCACGAGCTCAGGGGCTGGATGAGATGGATCTGCAGAGGTCCCCGCCGCCCTCAGCAGCGCTGGGATCCTGTGAGATGCCTTCTGAAAACGCCTCGAGGATGATGTGCTGGACACGCCGTCGCTGCAGAACAACCAGCCCTCCCAGCATGATTCAGGATTAGTTTATTCGGTTACGCCGGGCATAAATAAGCAAGAAAGAACAAATCTGTACTTATGTCGAGGCCTCCAACTTCACGTCCAATTAAAAACACGAGCTCTTCATGTAACCTGCCAGCTGCCTAGCAAAATTTTCCAGTGTCTCCTCACTCATTTTAATCGGTGATCCATCATTTGATATTTCTTCAGATTATTTTGCTGCTGTTGCAGGAATATGAGACTGGCGGTCTCCAAAACAATATCCAGGTTTTATCGGAGAAACCAAGGGAGAGAAAAGAGAAATCCTTCAAAAGCAACAGCAGCACCGAGGCTGGCACGTATACCCAGACTGGAGTGAGGCTCCAAACAAAGGAAATTCTGTTAAAAGTCTAATTTTTAGTCTCAAGGAATGATGTAGGGAAGTGTCAGGCTTGTCAACTCAATAAATCCTTCACTCTCGGCTGCAGAGAAATGCTTTTGTTCTACACCTAATTGCTATTATCTCGTATTCCAATGTGCTCCAGCCCAGATTGTTTAGCACACGGCTGAATTCCCCTCCTACCCCTACCCAGCTGTAGTTTTACAGTCTGGGAAGCTTGAATCAAACAATGAAACCTGAAGTGCCGTGCAATTCTGCATCTCTCCCCACGTAAAATAACTCACATTAATCACCCTGAATTGATTGCCACCGACTTTAACCACACTAGAGAGAGAATTCCCTTGAAGCCAAGGAATTACAGCCAGGACTGCCTCTTACACCAGCTAGAGAGACGTGAGAGTTACTTAAGAGTTACTTACTGTTAGGGACTCAGTCTTAAGACCAATTTCCTTGCCAAACATTCTCTGTTTACCACAACAAGCACTAGATTGTGGGGGTGATGTTGCTAAGATGTTGGAGAGTAAAGCATTACGACAAGAGCCTTGGCTGTGCCTGCAGTCAGTGCAGCACCGGGCTGATTTAAGACACTGTCTGAGAGCCAGACAAGGGGATTATTTTGTCGAAAGATTAAAAAAAGTAGAAAGTCAAACTTAGTTTATAAAACAGGCTGCTTCTCCCCTTTTCCTTTTATCTTTTTTGTATAACACGAACCTTTGGCACCCACACGGAAGATGAGCAGCACGTCAGAGAAAAGCAGTCTGTGCTCCTTCAGCCCTGAACTTGTCAGAGCAGAGACAAAGCGGGCTGAAAAGGTTGCCTGTGGAGGAACATTACAGCAAGACTGAGACACATTCAAGTCAAAATTAAGGAAAGGACAAGAAAGAGAATGCAAGTTAAATGCCAGGGCATTAATTCAGGATTAAGATGGTCCAAATGAATGCCTAGCCATTAACTGCCTTGTTGTCTCCACAGGGTGAATCATTTCCCTCTCTGCACTGTGTTCCCTCCTGCAAAGCAGCAAAAATGCAACGTGCTCTCCATCAGCGTGCTTCGTTTCCACTGATTTAATGTCCTTAATAAGAGCTGGGAATTAGATCTCGAGTTTAACAGTGACTTAGACTGCCCGAGCCCTTGTCACCTCTGCTGCGCTGGTAGCTGTGTCCTCTTACCATGATAACGAGTCCTCAGCTGCTTCAGGGCTCTGCCAATTTGTACAGCTCCGAGTCCTGTCTCCCAGGAACTGCTCAAAATTGCATGCTGGATGCAAAAACTAAAAATACAGACATCAGATCCTGTGCTCCTCGCACAAAAGCAAGCGACAAACACATGTACGAATTTTGCTGCGAACCAACATGCACTAAATCTGTAATATTTTTCTTTAAAAACGTTTCTTCAGGTTATTATTAAAAGGCACCAAAACTGAAACCACTTACAATTACCACTAATTATTGTAACAAAAATGAACTCGAAGCGAAAAGCTTCGCCTGACTGCAGCCAGTGGAAAAACAAACCCAAAAACCAAAACTGCAAGCAGTGAAAAGTTAAATTTAATTCCCAAAGAAGCAAAAGTCTTAAACCAAAGGATCATCCTTGTTGCTGTCTGCTAAGTCTTTCAGGACTATCTAATTATTTAAGCATTGCAGCACAGCAGACAGACATCTGTGGGTTTTCAGACAACGTGAAATAACCAGAATATTCAGAATACGTCCAAGCCTAGTTTACTGACTCTTCCTCTTATTAAATGTAATTCCCATTTATTTTTCAAGAGGGATTTCAGCTCCTGGGTTCATATGCTCAATGATATTAAAGAATCAGAAGCAGCTGTTGTTTTCTCCAACAAGCAGGGCACGCACTCTGGAAGCTGCACAGGGCTTGTTTTGAGCTGAGCGATAGGCGAATACCCCAGCAGCGTTCGATCAGAGCAGAGGTATGAGGATGGAGGCTCTGGCCCATTCGTGCAAGTTATTCGTGCAGGTTATTCGTGCTGAATAATCACATAAATTATAGAGAAAGCAATTTGCCGGTTACCTGGTGAATGCCTTCACTAGTGAAACACAGCTTTCTAGGCACCAGAAGAATCCAATATCCTGGCTCTACACATTTTGTTACCGAGTATTTATGCTGCTGACAAGGTAGTCGGCACGCCACGGCAAGCTGAAGTTTGCAGACACTTTCTGCACAAGTCTGCAATCCACAGAGAAGCCCCACTCTCTGACGACACTTCACTTGGCAGCTGTAACCCATCCGTTTCCTCTGCTGACACCAACACGAGGCTAAACAAGGCGGTATCTGAAGTCAACAGCAGCATGGTGCTGACAGGAGACTTCAGGAGAACGCTTTTATTGCTCATCTGCCACTTACGCCACGTTCCGCAGGTCAGGAAATGAGATTTCAGATTATTTTGACAAATACTCGGGGTGTTTGTCTGAACCACATGCAATCTGGGTTTTGTAGCCAAGAAGGCAGCAAGCGAGCTGCTGTCAGGCAGCATCCCTTCGTGCTGTGCCCAAGCGAGCCATCAGCCTCCACGTCCACAGGAGCTGGCGGAGGCTCACGCTCTGGATGTGCCAAAGGGCGAGTGAGGAATCGCAGCCTGGAGTCAAGGCGCATCCAGCACCACGAGGTGCTCTCAGCACCGTGCTTGACTCAAGGATGCTGCTTGACTCCGTTTGTTGCTGTGTGCCTACCAAAATGCTCCTGCGCTGCTTCTGCGAGACAGCTGCGCCTGCATCTGCGGCTCCTCTGGTCGTTTTGGAAGGGGAGGCTGCTCTGCCTCACTGAATTACAAATGAAACGGGACGAAGGCAGATACTCGAGCAAGCAGCGCAGAGCTGTCAGTCATGAGCCTGAGGTTCCTGACAAGCAGGCAGCAGGAAGCAGGCTGGTAACGTGACGAGCCAGATCTCCTAACTCGCGCACAATTAGCAAAATATCAGGCTGTTTCCATCACCCTGGAGCTAAGATACCAGATCGCCTTCTTCCAGTAACAACAAAGTTTCGTTTTGTTTTTTATCTCCATTCATTTATGCAAGATTACACCGGGGTACGCTGACCCAAGACGTCACTAACAGCTTGCTATTCCCCTCCACGCTGCCGTCAGCCTTTGTTCTTGCACGCAGCAGACAGGGCTGAGTGGCAGGCAGTCTGCATCCTGACTTCATTACACCTCTGGGCCTTGCAGGAATCGCTGGTGCTTTTTCATGTGTCATGCTGAAATGGAGGAAGGCCAGTCAGCTCACGGTGCTTTGTGGAAGAGCTGCTACGTGATCGAGGCAAAATTAAAAGGCTCATCCTGAAGAATTCGGAGTGCTCTCAGTTCTGTTTTAATTGAAAGGGAAAACGATGGCATCCAGCACTTGCCACAGTGAGATGCACGGTGTAACTGGAGTTTTGCAAGCTAGCAGTAACGTCAAACACCAACCTGATCCTTCTGCACTGCTAACAAACTGGTAATGATGCTGTCCCGATGCTCTGAAGGTGTGAAATCACACTTTGATCCTCTACATTCTGCATTCAGTTGGCTTGACAGATGAAAGTAGGGGCTTATTATTAAAACTTTTCGGCTTAGTGTTTCTGTTTTCTTTGCGTTTCAGCTTTGTGGCCATAATGTTATTGGTCAGAAATTACAAAAAAAAAAAGCTTTACAAATGATACATGCCCACATTTTAGCCTCCTAAAAAGAATTTACCTAGAACTTCAAAGCATCCAACAGCTGGGTATTTATACTGTGGGACTGCAGAATGGAGCCTGGCATTTGACTATCTGGAAAGAAGGGCTCCTACATGTTCTGACCCTGCAGAGGTAACCCTGTAAAGCCGACCTCTCGAATCTCCACTTTGGTCCCACCAGCAGGAAAAAGCCTGCTAGGAAGAAACACAAGCACCTCGTTAGCAGCAGCCAAGCCACAAACTAAACCATTTCTGCCCCAAACAAAAGCATTGCCACCCAACAGGGCTGTCAAGCTTATCCCAAAGATGTGTAAAACAGTAATTTAGCGAGAAAGCTCTTCCACAAAGTATGGCAACAGGGACTGAAAGGCCTCCAGCATGCATTCAGAAATGGCCAAAGCACGAGCTTTCCCTCTAGACCATGTCACTAAAGTGACAGCCCAAGTCACTTTTGCACGCTCCATGCCACCTCCCCACCTTTTCCACCTGCAGTGAGTCGGGCATGGTGCAGTTTGGGGACTCCTCACCTCGTACAAGCACCCAGCACAACGCCCCCCTGCCTGCTTGCCCCTGCAGCCCCAGCTCAAACACCTTCCCAACACAAAAATGCAGTCAAAAGACAACCCGAAATGAACTTCAAGTAAATGTTTTCAAATAATTCCTCTGTTCTAAGACTTATTTTCCAGCTGTCTTGAGCCATCACTAAGCTTCGAGCATCTGAGCTTGGAAATGAAAATAGTAATTAAAATTTGACTGCTATTAAGTGGAAAATTAAGATTCACGATCAGAGTTCTTCAAATATTAGCGGCACTTTCTGCATACAAAATGTTACAGGGATATGGTTGAGACACTGGAGAAGCTTAACCACGTGTATGGCTGTGATGGGAAACTGCTGGCAACAGGGCTGCACGTTTGGCACAGGGAATTGGGCACAGATATCCCTTATTTAATTCACCAGTGCATTACTTTTTAAATACACAATGGGAGAAGGTATTAGAAAAAAAACAAACTTCTAGTAAAAACCTTTTGGAGTGCATTGCTCAGACCCAAACGAATGTAGAAACAAATGCTCAGATACAAGCAGGATATAACCTCGGGTAACACATCGCTGGTATTTGACTTCTGGCATACCCATAAGCTCTTGACTACTTTGCAAAATAAAAACGTTTCAACTGCTTTCAATTTCTTCAAGGAACAGCAGCCATCAAAGGAACGCAGCTATTTCACATAATTCATCACAATCTGGAAAATAAAATGCTTGTTTAGAGCTATTTCTAACGCTTTCCACCATGTATTTATGAATAGCTGTCTTTTTCTGAGACGCACAGCAAGATGCAGCACCCACGGACCATGAAATTTTATGTGGAGTATTTTATGTCATATAAATGTTTCATATTGAAATGTCTTCTATAAAACCTTGGTCAATCCTGGTGAGTGCTATCCAAGCAAACTGCTTTGCACTCAGATTTGCCAACAGTCACTGTAGGTGGATGTTATTTCTAATTCTCAGATAGACTGATTTCGAGAGACTTACACTGCTAACTGGTAAATCTAGAGTAGAAAACCCAGCGAGGAACACCCCCAGGAAGGTTTTTGCTGCCAGCGAGAAACCCAATTAACTCAAAGGTGGAAGAGATGTCCCTCTGGGTCACTCAGTCTGTGCTCACGAAGAGGTGAGCTGACCAGGATGCCTTGAGCTAACGCAGTAACTTACATGTTCCCTAAAGCCAAATTTAAAATCATCAACAAGATGAAGAAGAAAAAAGAAAGCAAGCCCCAAACTTCTCAGCTGTGGGTGGGGTGCTGAAAGATTTCTTTCAACACAGAAACCTCTCGTCTCTGAAAAAAAACAACAGCCCACCATCATCCCAACAGGGAAAACTGAGCACAAAGAGCACGTAAAGACAGATGCCTTGCTCACAAAATGCCTCTGACATAAAAATATTAACCAAAAAAAGAACTACTATGACAGAGAAGCTAAATGAATGAGTTAAATGAATTAACTTGGACCAGAAGATCTGAAGAAATACAATCTTTTTTTTTTAACCAAGCTTTAATTCCAGTTTGTGTTGCCCTTTGTCTGCTTAGAGGCTCCAAAACACCTACCGCAAGCCAGCATCATGCTTTTCATTCAGATGCATCAAATAACGTTTTAAATGGGCTAATCTGCTGCTATATGAAATTACATTACTAGAAGAAAACTTGGAAGTGATCGCAAGAGATCAAGGACAATGCAAATTTGAAAACTCCATTTCTTTTCCCGTGCAGTTCTCCAGCTACACAGAAAAATGGATTTTCAAGGTAGACTTAAATCCAAATGTAATTTCGCCCGTATTACATATAGGCACAGAAATAAAAAGCCGAGGGGATAAGGGTACAGCCAGCCATGCCATTATTTAGGAAGAGTCTTTAGCAGGATCGAATTGGAAATGATGCACAGGCTGCAAGCTCTGGGACTTTTTAACTCTCTGAAGGCATTAGCAGTCTGAGGACAAAATCACTCGAAACTCCACCGTGATTTACAGGCAGACCACTTGCTGACAACTCTCTCTTTCAAGGACCTACCTGGTTTCGGAAGATACACTCATGTCCTCTCCAGAACATGGCCCAGGTTCTGGCGCTTTGTCCTGGTTCCTGCCCAGTAGCCAGGGGAAGGCTTTGAGATTTAAGATTGTTCTATAGAAATATTGAACTGTTTGCTATTGAAGGACTAAAAAAACCTGCACAAAATTAGGAATAGTTAAAAGGTCTTCAGCAAAATTTGTAACCTACAACTGTCCCTAATTATCAATGAAATTTGTAATGGAATTAAGTTGGCGCGCTCAGTTGTGTGGACGAGATGCCATTCCTCAAGGAATTCAAGGAAAACCTTCATCCCCAAAGACTCACTAGAACAACCTCCAAAGGCTGCAAGCAACTCAGAGACTTTTTCCAGCCTAGTTTCCTAAAGAACCGAGGCTATGAAGGGCCATTAAAATCCCAAGAGGAAACTTAAGAGGCGGCTTCGGGCTCCGTACCAGCACCACCGTTACAAACCCATCTCCACAGAAACAGTCCTGAAATAAAACTTACTCATTTTATCACTGAGAAGACTGGAACGACAACAACAAAAATAATTGCAAATGCAAAGCGGTAATGGACTTTCTTCTGTAAAAAATTTGATAGCTGTCAGCACAGCAAGCAACAGGAGGGAAAGGCTGCCCTGACACTCCTCAGCCCCAACAGCTTCTGGCCTCACATACCCCTGCAGCAAGCACTGACCGTGTTTTATTTATCTGAGGGTACAGTTCATGAAAACAGGCCATTATCCAAGGTGAAAGGAGGCTGGCAACGCTGTCCCTGGTGTCTCTCAGAGGATTTTTGGCACTACTGCAGTGAGGAACGAGAATAACATTAGGACAGGAGTACAAACTGGCACTGCAAGGATGATCTACTGGAGAATAAAGGCAGCCACAAAACATCAGGAATAGTCCAGAGTCACGTGTAGCTGCATCATGTCATGTACAAATCCCAGCTCCCCTGAATTTTCCCATTAATGTCCTTACAGATGCACAACCCCCTCCCGCTGTCCCTGAACAAACCCACCCCGGCACGGAAAGCTACCGGAACCCAGATGGACCAGACACAGCCAGCGACAACCACAACTGCCAAAATCGTGCAGCTATAATGAAAAGCCACGATTTCTAAAACCTGGACTAGAACCAAATTCCTCCGCGCAAATCAATGCAAAATAATTCATCGTTAAAATGTCAACACAACAGCACTAGCTTCGCGATCTAGCCATGGGAAGGCAAGGGCACAATTAAAACTCCCTTCACTGATAGCAGCAGAAGGTAGCTAGGAAAAAAAAAAGGGCAAAAAGGCAAAACCAAGAGCAGTTTTACGCAGGGGTGTTGTGCTGCGTGTTCTTTACAACCTGGCAGACAGCTGGTAAATCAAACAACGCAGGTAGGGATGAGGATGCTTGGCACCTGGAGTGCCTGCTGGAAGCAGCACGCTGACCTCCTCGCATCCAGGAGGTTTGCAGCCAGGATTTTATCGAGTCTGACAGCAGCCTTCCTCCAGCAACAAGAGTCATCCCTCCGCCTGGGGCGAGCAAGGAGAGGGCCACGAAGGCGAAGCATTAATCATCTCCTCCTGCCGTGATGGCCAGCAGAGAGGTGGCACCCCCACCTGGCAGTGTCCTGTGATGAGGGGCACGCTGGCACTGCTTTCCAAGGAAGATTCGAATAAAATCATTTACATCAAATTAAAAAATATGTTTAAGACTGATCCTTGGCAAATGCGTGCTTGTTCTCGTTAGACTGCTCACCTTTGGCATGCCAGAACTGCTCGGAGAAGTTTTACGGAAGACGACGTGCAAGATTTTCACAAGGGGGAAAAAAAATCCTCCCAGATTTTAAAAGGATTTTACCCTTTAACAATGACACAGCAGGAAACAGCTCCACGCACCAGATACTGGCAGGTGAATTCCACTGAGAAGATGGAAAGATCGCGCAGGAGAATAGCAGGGTTGCAGTGTTACCCAGCTTCTCTTAATAAAGCTACTCAGACTGACGCACGGATAAACAAGTAAACGAGTGTTTGCTAATTTGCAAGGCTACAAAAATTGCTTTAGCCTTTGAAATTATACAGAATACAACAGGAAAATACAACTACAACAGGCCACAGCATTAGCATTCATGGTATGGAAGGCAGAGATGAGGAAGATAAGGAGTAGTGGGAGAAATATTTTTACTTGAAGCCACGTGAACAGCGTAATGAATTCTCTTGTTGGGTAGCACATATGGCTTTGAAATGGCTTTGGCAAATGCAGACTGCTAGGAAATATAAGGGCAGTGGTAGATAGGAAGCCTTTAAGGAACCCAGAGAATTGCAGTGTCCTGAGATAGCATCTTCAAACAACCATGACAGATGAACGCGTGGAAAGTATTTTCTAGATTGCAGCTAACAAATAGCAGGCGGCTCCCACAGCACCTCGGGCTAGGGAATACACAAGTCCTGATCCTGCTTTGCATCACCAAGGCACAGCCCTATTATTGCAGTGCTCAGCTTGTTTGCCACGGAAGGCAAATCAATAATGCTCTGTTTGCTCACTGCACAAACCAGCAGATCCTACGCTTAGTGCTCAGGAATCCCTGGAATCGATTTTAGCAACAGTCAATGGCTCTGGCATCCACCTAACGAGGGGCTGACTTCTCTGCTAGATACAAAGCCGCTAGTTAAGCAGCAAGTTGTTATTTTAACTAGTAAGTTCTTATTTAAAATCCACAAGAAAACTCGAAGCACTAAACTGATGAGATTTTATCAGCTTGAGAAGATTAAATCATGGTAAACACGCTGCTTAGCTTATGCAATGACACCAATCATCTTTTTATTCTGATTTATGGAGCCCTAAAACAAAAGAGGATGGCCACTTACCTTCCAGCGATCGTGACTTAACTGCAGTGTCATGTGCAAACCACAGATGTTCCCAAAAGCAACACGACAGAAATGAACAACGCCAACTTTAACTGTTTCCAGAGTAGGCAGAGGGGAAAAAAAGAGCGAAGGGGAGCTACAAATTTTAAGGAATGCTTTACTAAAAGCTGAAAGCCACAGGCAGCAAGTTTGCAAAGAAGATCAGTCTTAAAAAAATGAGCATGGAAGTTGGCAGGAGGTCTGTGGGAATACAGACACTGGATAGGATGCAGTTAACGTGCTGGAGGGCAAATGCAGCCTCCAGAGGGAGTTGGGAGGGCTGGAGGAAGGGCTGGCAGCACCCCACGAGGCTCAGCAAGGCCTTGGGATGCTCTCAGCAGGTAATCTGTGGATGCAGAGGTAGAGGGCTGAATATCGAGGTGATCTCATTTAGGAAAATGGATGTTGACTGCTGAAGTTTGTTGTACGACCTCCCCAAAAGTTACTGAGATCTAGCAGAACATTTGGGGAAGAAATGTAGAATTATTACAACTGTAGAAACAAAGAAGAATGCATTTAAAGGTGACTCGATGATCAGTGGCTGACAGAAGCTGCAGGGGCAGAGGCTCAGTAGCTGACAGCTCCTTCCTCGAGCTGAAGGAGCTCGAGGGTTAGGAGCTGAAGCTGCACTAACACAGCTGATCAAATGAGACTTTTTTTTTTTTCTTACAGCAATTAATTGAACAACTTGAGCTCTGAATTTCGTATAATTTCCTGATATTACAACAGCTATGGCTGTATGCTCTGGTAGGAGCCAGAGATCTAATGCAAAAATTAAGCAGTGCCTTAAGCAGGGAGAGATGAGAACCATCCCTCACAGCCCGGTCTGTAACACAAACATTCACGGTACAACTGCTCTCCAAAAATCAACAGTAAGGGTTTGATATCTCTGATGTGACTACAAACATGACTTCTCATCAGTTTTGATGGCATAACAGCAGCCCAGGGAGCTGAACAAACTCCTGCTCCACACTGTAAATAACCAGAGGCAGGCTTCACGTTATCTGCTAACCTCTCGAGCAGCCACACTTAGCCTGAAGGTCTGCAAAAGGATCCCAGGATCTGCGATGTGAAATGACATCAGTGGAACAGCCATCTCCTCCAGGAGACCCACAAAGACCACTCGATGGGCATCTGGTTTGGCTCTTACAGTCCCACACTGTCAGATGGCCAAAGGCATTTTCTTACAAGATCTCCTCTGCACAGCCATCCATACGCAGAACTATTTGCACACAGATATACTTGCATACCTGTACATAGCCTATGAGCACATCTATGTTACATTTATACCAGCTGTATATTTGTATTACGCATGTAGGAGTGTCTCAGGGAAAATTCATTAAGGGAAAATTCATTACAATTCTCTCACGAATCACATTGTGCATTGCAAGTATGTTCCTGAGAGGGACAGAGCACAGCAGCTTCGCTTCCCAGTGCAGTGCTCAGACACTACGTGACATCTATGCCTTAGAGAGACAAAAACTAACTCAAGCTGCAATTATATCCTTTGAGGCTAATTGTAAAAGCTGCCATTTCTCCCCCTTGCATAAGTTATTCTCTCCAGATAAGCATTATTCGTTTCGTTTTGTGATGCTGTAGAGACATGCTTTGGGTAACCCAGAACAATACCTGTTAAAATATAAGCAGTGTGTGCCACCAAGTGCACTGAAGACGAAATTCTGCTAAGAACCAAAAAAAATAGCATGGTAGAACACAAATTTCACATATAACTAAATGCAATGAATCTCCACAGGAGTTTAATAAATAATAAAAAAAAAGTCTCTGCAATTTTTAATTATTTTTTTTAACTTAGAAGACTGACAACAAAACCACTCAATTTCCCTTTGACGACTTCTGCAGCTGCTGGTATCTGAAAAAGCTTCCATGCTACTAGAGCAGCAGCACTTTGAATGCTCACCTCTCCTTTTCTGAGGAAGGCGACTTCTTAAAAGCAGCTTGAGTTCTTCCCCTGTTAGGGCTCCCCGGATTTCCAGTTTCTGAGCGAGGTCAGGGGATGCAGGACAGTGCTTTCTTCGCTGTTCTTTGTGAAGAGGACATTACTGCCTGGCTTGTCTGATGCCTCGCAGGGCTGCCAAGCCTCTAAAGCCTCAGGAGATCTGACACGAGACTGTGCTAGGGAGCATCACTCCTTATGAAACCTACCCAGACACACACAGCCTGCTTCCCTCTGGCAGTTACAGGTGCCAGATTTGACACTCAGCAATAGGTGCATTCCCAAGGAGAATACACCCTGGCAAGATGTTGGAACAATTTGGTCTGGCACTGCAAAGACAGTGCTGCCACCTCCACCAGCCTGCTTTTCTTCCTTGAGCTCCATCCTGCCTGAGACTTTCATAGCTTTGCAGCTTGGAAGGCTCCCTGGCACTCTGCACCAAGGTGGTATAACACAACTGTAGATAAAATTACTTCCAGAAGAGGTTTCTACCTACTTTTTCCCACCTTGGGCTAACAGTCTCACCCCAGCCCTGCAAACGCTGATGAATACCAGACTAGCTACAGAGTCTAGTGAAATAAACAGACGGAAAGATGAACTTGTAATCCAAGTAAGATAAATAAGGTGCACTGCCTCAATCTGCATTTTCAATGAACTCTTCACATGAATAGCTACCTAGAAACTTTGCTCAGTCTTTAAGGTTAACTTCGCCAAAAGTATCTGAAGAGTTTAATTTAAATGAGTGATCCTGACCAAGCCATGTGTGAATTTGATATGCTGAAGGTAAGCACCCATATAATGCATGGTGATACAATTTCAGGGATGCATGTAAAGGAACTTACCACTTCTGCTCATCTCTACCACCACACCATCTCAGCTGAGAGGTACACATCCCCAACACTTCCAAATTTCTTATGGGTCAATAGAAGCATGCAACGTTAAGGCTTGTGAAGGAAAAAGTAGCACTTTGGTAGAGAAAGAGAAGACTGAGATGTGCTTGCTGGCCTTTAAGTTAAAGGCTGCTCACGTAGCTGTGCCAAAACAACTCACTGTCGCTTGCTCCACAGAGCATATGCAGCTTGAGGGAAAATCTTAGAAACAAGAAGCAAAAGACCATCTATTTCGGGGATGTGATGCTCAAATTGTTGACCATAAGGTAATATAGACGACAATGTTGAGTTTACTTGCTCAGATAAAGCACATTTTTGTTTAAATATCTGCTCTCCGATACACTGAGTCACCCTACTGCCTGAAGTACCAGCTGAAATGCTATAAAAGGACTGACTGGGAATCACAGAGCACAGCGTGTGTAGTTGTTTAGGAACAAAATGCTTTAAATAAACCACTGACTCACCTTGTCACGCAAATGATGCTCTGCAGCCTCAATATTCAGGGGATCGTCAAAATTCAAAAGATCCTGGAAAAGAACCAGAGAACATTACAGGGTTTCCCCCCATACTCCCTTCAGAGATTATACAAGAAATCCTAAGCCCTAATGAACAAGAAAATGAAGCAATGCAAACAAGACCAGAAAGCACAGTGCCATTTTCTTCCTACCTTTGTAGGTATCCCTGACAAAGGTAAATGCAAACAAATTTGGTGGTTGCAAACTGAATCACAAGTCAATTAAAGGATAACCACAGCGAGGCACTCGACCCCAAGCTGGCTGCATGCCACATACAGAGATAAATGTAACTAAATGAAGTTTTTAAGGGACATTGAAAATTTCAGGAAGCACAACTGCTGTTGATTTCTGTTCAAGGGTAAAGTAAACCCTAATTACGTTCAGACCTGCAAACAGGCTGGTGATAAAGCAGGAAGAGTTTCCTTAATGCCACTTCCAGTAGCAAAGTAATTTCATTCTCTCTTACCTACAGCCTGATAGACGGGAAATTTTAGGGCAATGGGAAAAACACGGCCCAGAAGGAAATGGACTACAAAGACCCCAGGAGTTAAGGACACATGGGATGCAGAGAGCAGAAACAGCCAAAATAAATCTCAGGTCTATCAATTTACATCTCAATATTAACTCTGGAAGGAGAAAGGGTTAAGAGCAAAGGAAGGCAAGCTGCTGCTAACAGGTGAATCATCACAAAAACAATGCTGAAACACAAAAACCCCTATTCTGCCTGCAGTCTAAGCCAATTTTCCTACGTTGAAGACTGCCACCATTTCACAGGTGAGAACAGCTTGCTGCTCTCAGGCTCGTTTTCTCCTGCATGGCTGACAGATACAGACTTCTCCCTGGACAAGACAGCTTTTCGAAGACAAATTATTGTTAAGAAGCAGGGTGGGAGGGGAATATAAGAGGCAAGCTGCAAAGCACGGCTCTTAGAGGACACAAGGAATCCCTGAAGCCTCCGATGTGTGACCATCGCTGCTCTTTGCCCAACAGATTATTTGGATGTGCAGTTCTGCCGCTGAAGGACTGCTTTGTACCTCCGCTGGATTTCATCTTCCTCCACTTACTTAACATGCAACGGGAGACTAACTGTGAAATGCAGTTACCCTTTGTTGAAAGGGCAATGTTCTCCCCATCTCCTAAATCAACTTACTCCTCTCTGGAGCAGCCTGGGGCTAACAAAGCCTGCAAAGCCCGAGGCGATGCTCCTTGGCCAAGTTTCTCAAAGCCTGCCCTGCATGCCCTTGAGCATGCATGTAAGTATTCAAAGCACTGAGACTGCTGGGCAGTGATTAATCCCTAAACATCGCTCTCAAAAAACAGAACACCAACACAATTTTCTGAGTGATGATGAATTTCTAGGTCGGGCAAAGCAGCAGAAGGAACCTCATAGCCTGTGGAATATCCCAAGGAACTCATTACCAAAATATCCTGTAATAGATTTGCAACCAGAAGTAAAAATCTAGGAAATCATGGGTATTACAGACCATCTGTACGAGTCCTGCAGTTAACAAAAGCACAGACTGATTTTTATATTTACACAACACCCACCGAGGTCTGAGGGAACGACAACCTTACGAGGCAACATAAGGCGATGCTGAAACCATAGCAGGCAGGAAAAGGGAAAGTGGATAAGCAAAATATTCGTTTACTTACAGTAAATAAAGAGTTTAATCCCCAGACAACATCCTGCAAAAAGAGAAGCAAGGTCAGTTAGGCATGCATTTCAGGTGTTTTGCACGAGCTGAAAAACTATTTTTTAAATATTAATCCATTAAGTTCCTGGAAATTAAATCTAGATTAAGGCCTTTTACTAGTATAAATGAAAATACTGTAAAAGCTTCCACATCTCATGGATGCCTGATACTTACAAGTCACCTAAAAAACAACACTCAAATAAAAGTTCAGATCTTCCTGTGCACACAGGAACCTTATTCCTGTGGCTTCTCTGCACAAGGAGAGGAGGAATACCTTGTATATCACCACCTGAGAACTGCAGTGCTTAGTTCAAACCATGGGTATGAAACTTAATTTAGCAATCCAGTCTAATAATTAAAAAATTAAAGTTATATCAGACAAATATTTGAAACTGTGTCAAGATAGAGAAAACAGACTGATGCAGTATGAGCACAGTGACACCATCCTCACATGAGCCTATGTCTCAAATTATTTTCTTGCCTTTAAGCATCTACTTTAAACATATTTGAATAGAGAGGATTTGCAGTTGCTAAAACCAGGAAGCTTCAGGGGAAACTGTCTCCAAATGTTCCCTCATTTGGTGTCAGCAAATGCAGCTTGTTTTGGGGCGTGCATCTCCAAAACACGTCTGTTAGCACTGACCTAGGAGTCAACACCCTCAATTACAAGGTTTTAAGACAACGCACAAAAACTAATTATTACGGGCTCAAAAGGATCACCCACCACCAACTCCAAGACTTTCTAGAGAAAAAAAATAATTCTTTAGCAGCAACGTAACTAAACTTCCCTGCTGCAAAACCCCAGTGAAGCCTGGGCACTGGAGCTCAGACCTACCAGGCAAACGTGCAAGCTGATTGCTGCACACCCTGCTCTTGCAGCCAGCTAGCACTTGACTGCCTACCAACAAAATCCACGCCGCCTGATTTCCACTAGTGGGACAAAGACCGCCCGTTAATTGTTTCATGGCTAAAACACACCCTTTACAATACAGCCTCAAAGGAAAAAGTGCCTAGCCACAGCCAAAAAGCCCCAATAAATGAGTGTATTTCTGCTTGTTTCCTGTTCTGGGCACATTAGCTGAAAGTGGAGGACCACAGAAATCCACATCCCCTAAAAAAGCTATCCAATTATGTCCTAATGCAAAAGACACCATGTCAGCATTATCTGAACAACAGCCTCTTACAGCCCCATTTTCCTTTGATCTTGCAGAAACCAGGTGCTCAGTGCAGCTACTTTTACTGCCGCCAAGCTGCCCGGGATTGCTGACACTGCCACCGAGGATTTCTAGTTTGTGTCTTCTCCTAATGGAGCCTCTGAAACCAGCAGCTGGGGCGAGGACAGTGACTCTTTCAAATATATTCCTCACCCTCCCTGACAGCATGAACACAAACTGCAAAAAAAAAAAGGGGCACACCTGAGATATCTAAAAATTAGCTCCCCGTATATTTGAAGCCTGGACAGCCACAAAGGTCTGAGCTTCCCCTCCTCTGTCCTGCCGTGGCAGCACCACAGCACGGCGATTTTGCTCTCCTCCTCTTGAAGAAGCCAGATTAAATTAATTTTTTAAGGGATGTCTTCTGTCCACAGCGTGTAGCAGCAGGCTGTGGCTGGGGAATGCCATGCAGAATTAGGATCCTGAGTGTTAGAAATCATCCAAAAGAGGTGCAAGGAGCTCACCCTAGTGCACTGGGGTCTGCCCGTTTCCAAATCCTGCCTGAATGCCCAGATGGCACTGCCAAGGCTGCAAAGCCTTTACGGCTGTTAGCTACCAGCACGGCTAAAAACAGCCAAAAAAGCAACTCATTCACATGGTTTCTAAGATCCTGATCAGCTCATCTCCTCCTCCTACCTTTCAGGTGTCCTTTCCAAGTGTTACAGCCTCAGGTTTCCCCAAGCCTCCCCAAGAGGAGGCTCACACCCCCCAACAGCACCGCTTCTGCTCCAAAACAAGCAGTCCCGAGCTGCACCGTATGCAAGTAGATGGTGCAGCTCAAGACAGAAATGTAATTTTTATCAGTTTTGTCTCCCACATCATTTAGTAAACACCACATTTTTACATCTCCCTGAATTGCTCCCAAATTCTCAGATGTCAAACCCTGTTTTTAAGGCTTCAGGATTTTTGATTATTTAATTCAAGCTGGCTTTGCAGAGAATCACATAAAAAAATAGCAAAACCCTCTCTAAGGCTGTAAGCTTTCAAAGTGCTGTATGTTCTCACAGCCGTTCTAGAGACCAAAAAGCATAAAAGGAGGATTATTATTCTTACTGAACAAGTCGTGTGTGAGATTCTTAAAATATGTTTCCACCTATTCAAGGTTTAGGATTTGCTGGATTCAGTTGATGCCGTTGCAGGGTTCCACAATAAATAATGCTAAATTATTACTAGAGGACAACACTTGTCGGGAGCTTGAGGCTTGCCCAGATTTCAATCTAGGGTACTGAGAAAGCGAGGTGGGGTGGAACAGCTGAGCAGCAGTGAAACAAGCATTTGGGATTTGCAAAACGTGACAGTGTTGTACTGCAAAAATCATCACTTGGCTTTACGGACTTTGGCAGAGCTGCGAGCTGCATGCAGATGAGCCCCAATGCTTCATGTTTTCCTGCCCAACTGAACGGATTTGCAAGGCAAAGAACAGATTGAACAGTTCAAATAAGCTCAACTTCAGTTCTCCTTTAATGTAAAGTATCAGCCCTGGCTACAAACATCCACTGAACTTCTGGCTGAAAAGCTCTGAAAGCAGAAAGTTTTTGTGTACGAGAATTTTAATGACTATCACATACACACGTGGGGCTGGGGTTGCCTTCAGATCTTATGTATCTATGCCTTTATGCTGCTCTGCTTCAGTAACATTTTTCTCACTCCCAAAACTTCAGAAAAAAACACCTTTAAAAGAGAATCAAGCACGGGAATCTGCACATTCACAGTGCAAACTGGAGAGGCTGTGTCCTTCACAATGAGTTTTTCTATTTGCTTCCATGTGCTTAGCATCACAGGTATGAGTGGTGGCATTTTTTTTTTTTTAATTCCCTTCTGGGAATTAAATTCATTGGGAGCTGCAAATATCACACCTGAACCAAGGAGCCCAGCAGGTTGAATCCCCAGTGTGAGTGAAAAAAAGGGTATAAGTGAAAAAAAAGGTGTAATGGAGGAAAAGCATCCTTTTCACAGCACTGTAACTGTGTCGATGGTGAAGTCAACCAGCACAAGCAGCTCAGAGGCTGTTGGAAATAACCCTCTGTAACCGCCCCTTTCACTCGTGGGCAAGTCAGTGTTGCATCCAAGGGAGAAGTCAGAGGAAATCCCTGCCCGCAGGTTTATTTCTGGCATGCCGAATGAGTGGGAAAAAAAAATCCACCGCTGCAGCGACGTTTAAAGTTCAAGAGCAAAGAGGCAGAACGCTAAGTACAGCCTTTGAAGCAGCCTCTCCTGAGGCTGGGGGCTCTCCAAGCCCTGCTGCTCGCAGGAGGCCCTAATTCAGTGAGTCAGAGCACACCGCACGTGGCCGATCTCACAACCACTTCACAGAAGCGATGCCATTGAAACCATGTCAGAGACGAGCCTTCAGCTCCGGCTTTCGGATGTCTGGAGGAAAACAGCCACACAGCAGTTCTTTTGAAGGGCGAGCAAACATGGAAATTGTAAATTAAGGCTTTCCTTGAGCAGGCAAAGTATGTGTAGTACATTAATTTAAGCGGGGAACAGGCCAGACAAAAGCAGCTAATGAACTTCCAATCAAAGAAACTTCTTTAGAGATTCAAGGAGGATTTCTGATCTATTAGACTAATTAAATTAAAGCCCTTTGCTAAGCCATTTTTTATGTACAAACAGTTTAACCCATTCCGATCGATGAAAGCAGCAGCAGCAGTCACTTCAACAAGCTGATGTCTGATGGGAGACTTCAAAAAGTGAAGTAGCAGCTCCTGTAAAACACACGCCAGGCTTCGTAGCTCACCATGTGGAAAGGGAAAATCCCACCTGCACACTCAGCATGCGGAAAGCCAGGGGGCAGCTCGCTCCTCTCTGCTTGCAGACCAGCCCAGGATGATTTCCAGCTCCATTCACTTTCTGTCAGCTCTTCTTCCTCTCTCCATCTCAGCCTGCAATGCCAAGCATCCTTCATCCCACCCACACCCACCTTCCCTAGGGGCTGGAGGACTTCTTTCTGCCTCTTCAACCTGCCTCCGTGAACATGTTGCATTTCTCCCCATGGATTAACCACCCATTTGCAACCACTAACCTGCAACTGACTGCCCAAAACTTATCAGTGGGGCTAAGAAAATACCAAGTTTTCATTCCAGAGGTGGCAGAACTTCTTGATTCACCAAAAAAGCCACACTTCCTTCCTAAGCAGTCCTCTCCCAATCACAAAGTCCCCATTTAACATTGCTTCCCCTGTCCTGCTCCTCTAATCCTACAGGTAACGTTGCTAAAATGTCTAGCAAAATGCCCGTGCCGGGTGAAACATCGCTTCCACCTGCAGTAAGGGGATGCAGGGAATGTCAGCTTTCCTCTATCCCAGCAGCAACCTGGCTTCTCATGTGCTTGCAGCCCCAGCCACACCAGCAGCTCACTTGGAGGGCTCTGGGGAACTTAAATGGCATGAGCTGCCCCAGTTAGCAAACACAAAAAAAATAAAAACAAAACAGGAGGAAGGCTGGAAAATGACTGCTTCTGTGCTCCAACATAGTGGAGGGAAGAAAATAGGAACAATTATTGTCTGTTCCTCTCCCAGGCTAAGGCAGCTGTGCATTGCCAAGCAGGCAGGAGCGCTCAGCTCAAATCCCCTACTTTTGTTCCTGACTCCTTGACTTTTGTCCCCAAGGTTACTCGGGAGCCAGCAGATAATCCGGGGGAAGTTGTTCCCAGGGGAACTCTTAATGAACTACTCCACGCTTATTATGTATGCCGAAGCGATCGCCCTCTGGAGACCAGACTACTCAACTGATTGAAGTTCAACACAAATTGGGCATTTTAGAAATCAACGGTTTGG